AGAATTGGATTGGCCGTTGAGATTGTGTAGATCGTTTGGAGGGGTTGAGCTAGTTTTGGTTTTTGATTTTGAGAAAAATTTTGAAGTCATTGAGGTGGCGCAGTTAAGCGTACCATATTGTTGTTTGGAAGGGTTTGGTTGAGACAAGTAGGAGAACCCAGAACTTTACTTGAATGTATTTTTAGGAAAATATTGACGATATTGAGGATGGTGAGAAGGATGGTTATCATGAAGGTAATAAAGGAAGATGTACATAAAGACAAAGTTAAGAAAGAGGACTGCCACGGACCTTTTCCCATGCAACTAAAGAATAAACAAGACTCCCAAACTTGTTTGGCCTTTGACCAGAGGTCCCATCCCAATACAACAGTGGTCTTTAAAGTCCTTATATCCTTGAGCTTATAGCATAATTGGCATATTGAAGAGAGAGAGGAAAGTGCTTCTTTCAAGAAAATTACCATATAAGGAAATTTTCAAGAAATCAGTAGTGAACAGGTGGGAGTTTTTCTTTTATAGATAGATATTTTTTTTATTATAACGATTTGAGTAATTACTATAATTGTTTTTCTTTTATAAAATAAAATATTATTATTTTTCTATTGATTATTTAAAAGTTCAAATTTTAATTCAATTAAAAATTTATAATATATTGTTAAACAATAGATTTTTAAGTTAATTGACAAGATTTTTTAATTAAGTTAAGTTGTTATGAAAGAAGAACAATAAGATATTGATAGATAAATATATACTTAAACTTTTTAAAAAAAAATTTCAAAAAAAAATTTTTTTTTAATATATAATTATAAGTTTATTATATTTAAATTTATAAAATTTATAAAATTTAATATTTTATTTTTGATACTATAAAAAAAAGGCTTTAAAATTAAAAATTTTAAAAAAAATTTTTTTAAAAAAAGAAAAAAAAATCTATATATTAAATTAAAATTTAGAGAATTATAAAATTTTCAATAAAATTTTTATTTGTAATTGATTTTTAATAGTCAAGAAATTTAATTTCAAAAATTTAATTTCAAAACCATTTTTAATCTTTATATTAAACTTTATTTTGATAGTACTTATTGATAGTCTCATTTTAAATGATATACAGTAGATAGTGTGACAGTGCGGATCTACTGGCGAGGCGTTCGATTTGGTCGGGTAATGGATTTCTCTTTATTAAGTTATTTATTAAACGTTTTTTCATTAATTAAACACCAACACTTTTTATACATTTTTCAGATAGAAATTTAAAAAACAAATTAGAAACCTGATGAAGGTAAGAGAAAGTCTACTCCTTTCCGGTGCGAATTAGCACTGGTTTTTGATTTTTTCTCCTCACGATTCCGAGTCAATCGTCTGTCACGTGACCCTAATCGCGTTTCTACCATTTTATTCTCCCTCTCACAATAGGTAATTAAATAATATGAAATAGAAGATAAATCCATTACTTTACTACATGTAAAGGGGCAGCTGGCATGTTTCATGATTTATTTCTCTTTTTTAGTTTCCGCCTCATTGATTTACTAAATAGGTTGACCTTTGGTAATTAATTTCATTGATATTAATAAGGTTAAGAGTATTTTATTTTTTAATTTCAGATTTATGTAAATATCGTGAGAAGATATTTGTTGTACTACACATATTCAATAAGAATATCATAGCGTTCCTTTAATTCTTTTTTATATTTATTATCGGGAATACCCGTTTTTGTTTCTTTCTCTTTCTTATACTTTAGAAACTCTGCTTCGGTCATACTTTCACGCTCTTCATTCCAATACTCGGTATTAACAAGAAATTCAAGGGCAATATTTTTTCGCCATTGTTCTAACTTCTCCTGAGTCATTTCAGAATTTTGCTGTAAAAAAAAAATAAGTAATTTTATATCAGATTCATTTCTGATAAAAATTACTTTTTTCACGCCTGGTTCTTGTACATTTTCTGGTTTCCCGAATTCAACATGATCTTTTTGAACATTAAGAAGTTTTTCTTTATCTTTGCTGTCAAGATGACCGTTATCGACTAATATGTTTATCAACTTAATATATTCCTCAGTATCCTGAATATTGAGTTTTTTAGCCTCTTTTGATGCAAAATTGAAAATGTCGATACTACTCATGATTTCCTAATACGTATACAGTATACTTGCATAATTAGTAAACAGAACATTATACTGTAAATAAAAAAAAATAAAGCAGCACAGTACATTGGTGATTCTATTATAGTTATCTGCGATAGTTTTCTTGACTGATTCGGGTAGATTTTCACTTGTCATTTTATTTAAAGAGTCGTTAGCTTTATCATAGAGGATGGAATTTTGCTTAGTAGCTTCGCATATATTATCCATATAAGATTTTGTAAGTTCACTGAAGTATTTCGATTTGGTCTTTTTCAATTCAATTATCAGTTCAGCCGTCTCGCGTTGTCTCTTACTCGTATCGTTACCCATATCTAATAAAATATCATAAGTAATTATCTGATCTATCATTCGTCAAATAAATCAATGATGCGTTCTACTTACCGAAATTGAGTCTATTATGAATTCTTGTTTAGATACTGTACTGTACAATTCGAAATTTGTTTCTTTTTTCTGACAAGTTTGCACTGCTATTTTTATAACAATTTTTTTGTGAAACTCGTACTATCATTGATCTTTAATTTGAATTTATTAAAGTTATGGCGTTTTTTTTGTATATGGCGTAAAAAAAACTAAATAAAGCAAGAAAAACTTTTTTTCATTTGTTAAGCTTTTCGTAGAATACAATTACCCTACAACACTTTGAACTTTGATACTGACTCTTTACTATATCCGGGATTTAAACTACGATACGAATCAAATTACCATTACAGTGAGCATCTTTGAAGTCCAATCAAATGAGAATTTTGTTTTTTTTAATTTAAATTTTGTAAATTTCGCTTAAACAAATATCACAGAATCATAAATGATAAAAAAAACCTTAAAATTAAGGAAAAATCTCAGATTTATTACGTTGTAACTGAGAAATTATCTATCTCTACTAAATAGTGGCAAACCAAAATACAGTAATACGTACAGTATTTACATTTGAAATTGAAACTTATACGGTATTATAGCCATAAATGAGACGCTTAATATAATCCATCCGATCTCAGTTCTTTCTAATACTAAACACAGGTATTTGTAATTTTTAAAATGGTAAAGCTTGATTGAACACATACTGAAATAATACCAAAGATTATAACCGGAGAAGAAAAGATAAAAAGATAAAAAGATAATTTATTTGGACCCTTTAAAATAATATTATCTTCGAAAAGAATTCTTTGACGTGTGATTCTTGGAAATACCCACTAGGTGAAAATTATGCAAAGCAAGAAGCAGAAAATAAGACTTAAAGTCTATGATTTTGAATATAGGTCCATCAGGTTCTTCGCGTGACGAATCACCCCTTCTTTCCCTGTAACACTAGTAGCAATCGCTGCTTACACCTTGATTGATGCTATATCGGGTATCGCAATATAAACCGGTGGGATAAAGAGGATAATTAGGATAATGAAAACATGTATAAATGTACCCAACTTTCTTCATAATAAAAGCAGCAAGTGTGCTCATTACATAATTGAACCTTTATCTGTGTGATAAATCCTGTGTGTTCTATAAATTGGTGTTATAGTTTCGTTTCGCCCGTGATCTCGGTGATCGACGGACGAAGATCGACCAAATCCAATCGCCTCTTTCGCCTACAAGACCAGAAGATAGAAGTGTTAGTGACGACACAAACCATATAGCTAAATAGTGCAAAGTGAGCCTACTTAGCTGTGATGTGACGTGCCGCGACAAGACCTGCGTGCAAGCGACAGACTCGCCGTTTCCCACCGTTACACTAGTACAAAAAAAATGACGGAAAATATAATGGCATAGACATATCAACATACCTATAAAGTATATCATTTATCTCCATTATTCTTATCATTTTTGTTAATACAATATTTGTTTTTATGCTAAACGGAAAATATTTTTTACTTTTTTTCTCCTTCCTTTCACCTTTCTCCGTAGATTTTTCACTTTCCTTTTCATCTTACTCCACAAATATTTCACCGTTTTTCTCATTCTCTTTTCCTTTTCACCTTCGCGCTCAAATATTTCATCGTTTTTCTCACCCTCATTTTCATTTTCCTCTTTCACTATAAATATTTTTCGATTTTTCATATTTTCCTTCATATTTTTCTTCTTATCCATTTTTCGACTTTCCATTTCCATTTCATCTAATTTCTCCAACATGTCTTCACAAATTTTAGAATTTAAGCCTCTTGGATACTATTAATTTCATTAATTTCGTTTTTAAGCTTATCTATCTTATATTACAAACTTTCAAAGTTCCATTGTTTTCGTCCAGGGGGATATTCAACGCACATTATCCGTTATATAATGAGTCCAGTGTATCTAATTTGCTCTTAAAAATTACATCTTTAAGAGATATCGGGCTTCCAAAAAAATGGAATGGCTTACTGCTCCCGGAAAAAAGGTCGAAACCAAATTATCTATCAAAAGAAAACTACCAAATATAAGCAAAAGTGAACAAACAACAAAAATATGATTGCTTTCATGGCATATAAAGATTGCCGGTGTTCCCATTTTTTAAACTTTTTTCGAAGTTCAAAAATTTAATACATTTCTCTATAATTCTTTGTTTCATTAAAGTTATTTTTTGATGCATAATCGTTTCCTGACACTTATTGAAAAATTTGGGCAAGAAGACGTTATATGATACTGTACAGTACTGTATTCATGTTCTTTAGGAAACATATAGCATAAAAGCTAATCAATCAACCACACTTGTGCAGTGTAACGGTGTAACGGCGAGTCAGTCGCTAACTCTAGCAGAGATTCGCGTAACCGTTACTGGGTAAATGAATGAAA